GTATTATAAAATATATACATTTATTTACTAAAACACATAAATTTATGGTTTTCAATTATTTGAGAAAAACCAAAAAAGAAAACTTTTTATCAACTAAAAAACAACATATATAAAACAAAAATACCTGAGCATGAGGAACAATCTCTAATGGGTTTTGTGTTGTAACAACTAAAGCATCACTTATTGATTTAAAAGAATTCAAGTCATCTAGCAACAAATTGTTCATTAAATCAATTAATTGTGTGCGTAACTAAAAATCATAACAAATATTTTAGACAATTATATAAATACACATCATTATAAAAAAGAATTTAAAGTTTCATTATTGATTCTAAATATATAACAGAGTAGATTTTTATATAAATCTTTTTGTTCCTTTCTAATCAAAATCTTTTATGAATGCACGCCTATTTTAATAAAAATATAATAAATATAAGGGGATTTTCAATTTTAAATATAAATACAGCTGCAAGTTCAGATATTCACAGTGCTAATATATATTATAGACAATTTTTTAGAAATGTTCACCAAAAACAAATACATTAAAATGATCATCACGCTGTCATCCTAGTCATCACACTTTTAACAAATTACTTTTTATAAATCACTTAACCCATTAAAAAAGAGGGAATGAACAAAATTTTTGCTTTCGGTTTAGTGGGATTACAAAGAAATTGTCTACTTTGAACTTTTACCATCCAACCAAACAATCAATGCAGATGTCTACATTGAACAACTAACATAATTGAACAATGCAGTTGAAGAAAAGCATCTTCAGTTGACAAATCGAAAAGGTGTTGTATTCCATCATAACAATGCAAGGCCACACACATCTTTGGTCACGCGGCAAAAATTATTGGAGTTGGTTGGGACGTTTTCCACATCCACCATATAGTCATGACCTTGCACCATCTGATTACTTTTTATTTCGATCTTTGCTATACTCCTTGAATGGTAAAAATTTCAATAAAGATGATGATGTCAAATCGTTATGGTTCGGTTTTATGAACATGGAATTACGGTTCGGTTTTATGAACATGGAATTATGGTGCTACTTAAAAGATGGCAAAAGGTCATTCCTCAAAATGGGCAATACATTACAGAATAAAGTTATTTAGTACCATAAAAAAATTGTCTTTTATTTTTAAAAAAAATACGCAATTACTTGGTTGCCAACCCAATATAATTATATACTGAAAAATAGGTTCTTTTGTTCCTTACAATTTTAAACAAATTTCTTACATTAAAATCTAAAACAAATTTCTTAAATTAATATCTAAAACAAATAAACATGTGTAGACCTTGATATAATGATGTTTTAAATTTTAAAAACAAATACAAACAAAAATGTTATGTTGCTATATCATATTAAAACCATATTTTTTGATTTAGCTTTTATGTTATGTTATCTAAATATAAATTAAGTTAAGCTTAAATCACTTTCAAAACAAAAACTATACAAACTTTAATTAGTTGTTTACTAATATTTTCGTAAATTTTACTAAGCTTTGTTGTTTACTAAGTTTTGTTGCAAATGTTAGTCATGTGCTTTGTATAAAATACCTATTAGATAAAATAATATATACAAACTCGTACTTCTTGTAAACCAGACAATTCCTGTTGCTTTTGTTGTTTTAATGTATCTTCATCAATCATACCAAATAATTCATTAGCAGATGATGCAGTGATATTATATTGGTTTGCAAAGTTTTTGTTTATATTATTGCTAACTGCTTGAACAAGATTAGCAACACTTTGAGTCTCATTGACGTTTATGTTTGCTATCAAGCTTTTGAAATTCGATGGTTTATTATTTGGGTACACCTGTATAGGTAAACAAACATTTTAAAAAATTAAACTTATTTTCTAAATAAAAACATGTTTTAAAAGGTTTTAATTATACTCACATAAAATTATTTTAAATATATTTTTATCTATTTTTTAATAATTTACTTCTTTTATTTCTCATAATTTACTTCTTTTATAAAATATATATATATATATATATATATATATATATATATATATATATTATATATATATATATATATATATATATATATATATACATATACATATACATATATATATATATATATATATATATATATATATATATATATATATATATATATATATATATATATATATATATATATATATATATATATATATATATATATATATATATATATATATATATATATATGATATGTTGTTCATGTACATATGCGTAAATGTTTTTCATATATAATATATGTTTTTGTAAATATATAAAAAGAATTTCTAATGTTCATAGATTTTAACTTTTTTTCTTAACAAAGAAGTTATTATAAACACATACTAATCTTTTTATTAGTATTTTTTTATTAATTCAATTCACTTTAACATGTTTTAGTTAAAATAAATGAAACTGGTTGCTTTAAGTTCTTTAAGATTATTGATATTGATTGAAAAACTAAATCCAAAAGTTTCTATATTCAGTTTTACACATATTTTCTGATACTACTCATCATTTTCAAGGTCCCCATTATTTCTCTGTTTTAACATAAATTTTTAAAAGTTAATAAATGCCAACCTTAATATATAGATCATATTCTGTGTATGCTTGGTACTTTCCAATCACTTTTATAATGATTCTGATTTTGAAATCATTGTTCTCATCACCTGGACCCATCACAAAGTTTAATAAACTTGGTTGGTCAGTAGTACCTGCATTTAATATGGGATAATCTATTGAGGTTACACTACTAAGTTTTATTTGCTGTGACTGACCATTATCATAATAAAAAGCGTAGCTAAGCAATCCATCAGAATCTCTCCATCCATCACAAATAAGTACAAACTTTGTTTCGAGGGCAACTCCTTCTGCTGGGCTGTTAAAAACATGAATTTCTTTTTTTTAGTTTTAACATACATATAACAAACAATTTATTAAAAAAAAAAAAAGTTTACCTTAAACTGTAACTTAACAAAATAAAATTCATATGAAAGTTCTACTTACTTGATAATGCAATATCCTGGAGTAGGCTGAGAACAAGTTGACTTTTTAAACTTTAATTTAACTTTTTTGACAGAGTTTGCATAACCAACCATCAAAGTAAATGTGTAGTTTTTTGATTCAAGAAGAATATCTTTATTAATTACAAGACTAGGGATTAAAAATCCTGTAGAAGTTGCATTTTGAACTGAAAGTTCTGCTGGAAAATATCCTGCTTCATCTTCTACAGTCCAATTAGCCTCTAATCTAAAAATCAAAGCTTTTCATATAATAAGTAATAATGTAATTTGTTTCATTATATTAATTATGTCAATTTGTTTCATCATATTAAAAGCTTATTCTTTATATAAATTAGAAAAAAAAAAATTCATAATTTATTATTGCATATATTATTTGTTGTATTATTATCTGTCATAGTTCCCAAACATATTTATAAATCTATGTCATTAAAAAAGTTTTAATAAAGAAAAACTAAATTAAAAATAAAACTAAAATAATGGTAATAAATTTCACAACAAGAATATATTGTATATACATTATAAATTGATACTTAAGAAATATACATTAATGAACATACAATATTGTTTTGTAGAAGGCCTCCTAGGCAAAGACTTTAGGGGTAAGCAGAAAAATTCTGCTAACCAGCCTCGAACCCCTTCTTCATCTATTAGGCTGGCGTAGATGTAACCTGTGTTATATTGTTTCCTGCCTAGGATGATGAATGCTGGATCTCCTTGACTCTACTCATAGAATTTTGCTTATGCCTCCTTGATAATGGCTATGCAACTCTTACTGTTATCTCCATATGAGGGTACAGCTCTAAAACTCAGTTTAATGGTTCTGAGGCCGGCTGGTAGTAAGGTTTCCCGAACTCTGTGGTAGCTCTCAGAGAGGCTGATTCCATCAACAAAATATCAGAGTATTAACAGTGCCATGTTGCGCATGGGTGGTGTCCATGTTAATGCTTTTGGTGTGCATTGTCAAGGCCACATAAGGAGCCCTATGTCACGGCTTAGGGTTAATTAACAGGACTGAGAAAACTGCATAGCTCATTGATTAGAAGGCTGTGCTTTATCTATGAATGAGTCAAGTTCTCATTAAACCCAAATCATGACCAAAGTAACCAAAAATTTAAAACCTAAAAAAACCATCCCCACCACCTAAATATTTTAATATATCTTTTACAAATATTCGCGGTCTACGAAGCAACTTTCCATCAGTTGAGTCTTACCTCCTGCAAAACTCACCAGACTTGCTTGCACTCAGTGAAACAAATTTAAATTCTGCAATTCCTTCTTAAGATGTCAGTGTTGATGGGTACTATCCTTTGATTCGTAAAGACTTAAATATTCACATGCTAGGTTTAGGGATATACATACGCATTAATTTCCCTATTTGTCGTGAAATCAGGTTCGAATCCTTTGACCATTCTTTTATGTGCTTTCGCCTAGCACCTCTTCACTCTATCACCTTTCTCTTTGTTCTTTACCGTTCTCCTTCTTCCCATGATTGCACTCTCTTAGATGTTATCTCTGATCAAATTGACCATGCCCTCTCTCTTTACCCCTCTGCCAATATTGTTGTTGTTGGTGATTTTAATGCCCATCACACTGAATGGCTTGGGTCTAACACCACTGATCTTGCTGGCACTAAAGCCTTTAATTTCTGCGTTTCTCAATCTCTTACTCAGATAGTTAACTTTGTGACTCGTTTTCCTGACAACCCTAATCATTTACCTTCACTCCTTGACTTATGTCTTGTCTCTGACCCTAGCTTATGTTCAGTTTCTCCCTTTTCTCCTTTAGGTGCTTCTGACCATCCAATGATCTCTATAAGTCTTTCTTCTCGTACTTCTTTTTTGGGCTCACCTTATCATTGCACCACCTACTACTACCCTAAAGCTGACTGGGATTTCTTTCCTGATTTTCTTCGTGATGGTCCTTGGGCAGATGTTTTCTCTCTCTCAGCTGATGTGCCTCCACATCACCCTGATGTGCCTCCTACGTAACCTCCTGGATTCAGGCTGGTATGGATGCTTTTATTCCTTCGCGTCGGTTTCAAGTTAAGCCTCGTTCTACTCCATTGTTTTCTCCTTCTTGTGCAACTGCTATATCCAATCGTAATCATTTTTTTCATATTTTCAAAAGAACAACTCTCTTGAGAACAAACGGCTACTTATTATTGCAAGAAATCGATGTAAAAAGGTGCTTTCTGATGCTAAACTCCATTATTCTCAGTTCACTAAATCTTGCATCTTATCACAGAAGTTAGGCTCTAAAGACTTTTGGAAAATCTTCAACAGCATTATTAACAAGGGTCGATCTAACATTCCATCTCTCATTCATGGGAATGATCTTATTACCTCTCCCAAGGATAAGGCAGAACTATTTGCAAAGAACTTTTCTTCTAACTCCACTCTTGAATCTTATGGACATTCTCTTCCTTCCATTCCAGTCAAACAGGTTGACCCATTGTTAGACATTCAAATCACTCCCGCTTCTGTTGCTAAAGTCATATCTCAATTAAACTCGTCTACAGCTTGTGGTCCAGACAACATTCCTGTCACAGTCTTGCAGAATTGTTCTCCAGAACTTTCTTCAATTCTCTCTAAACTATTTAACAAGTGTTTGATTGAGTCTTGTTTTCCTGCTTGTTGGAAAATGACATCTGTGGTTCCAATATTCAAAAACTCTGGAGAAAATTCTGACCCCTCCAATTATCATCTGATCAGTCTTCTTTCTGTTATTAGCAAGGTCTTTGAGTCTTTGATCAACAAATTCCTCACATCTCATCTTGAGTCAAATAAACTACAGTCAGACAATCAATACGGTTTTCGATCCTCTCGCTCTACGGCTGACTTGCTAACTGTTGTAACTAAAAGATTTTATCGTGCATTAGATGGAGGCGGTGAGGCTAGGGCTATTGCTCTTGACATATCTAAAGCTTTCGACAAAGTTTGGCATGCTGGTCTTCTCCATAAGCTTGTTTCATATGGTGTTTCTGGGAAAGTTTTTGAGATTATCAAATCATTTCTTTCTAACCGGTTTATTAAAGTTATCCTTCAAGGCCAACACTCTTCTTTATTTCCAGTAACTTCTGGGGTTCCCCAAAGTTCCATCCTGGGCCCTGTTTTGGTTCTTATCTACATAAACAATCTTCCTGACAACCTTTCATCTAAAGTAGCTCTTTTTGCTGATGACTCAACTTTATACTCCTGTCTTGACAAAAAGTCTTCTCTTTTCGATCGCCTAGAACAAGCAGCTGATCTTGAATCCGATCTCACTTCAGTAATAGATTGGGGTTCACAGTGGCTTGTGAATTTCAACTCTAACAAAACCCAGTTGTTTACTGCAATCAACTACCGTAATATGGTCAACATTCCTATATTAATGAATGGCAATCCATTTACTGAGTCCTCCTCTTTACGTCTTCTTGGATTATCGTTTACTACTGACCTTTCATGGAAACCATTTATACAATCGATTGCTAAATTAGCTTCTGCTAAGGTTGCTTCTCTTTATCATGCTCGCCATTTCCTTACTTCTGATTCCATTCTCTACCTTTACAAATCTCTTATTCGTCGCTGCATGGAATACTGTTGTCATATTTGGGCTGGTTCTTCTAACCATTCACTTTCTCTTCTTGACAAGGTCCAAAAACGCATTGTAAACGTTGTTGGACCTGGACTATCTGCTAAGTTTGTGCCTCTTTCCCATCGTCGTTAAGTTGCATCTCTTTCTCTTTTCTACAAATACTCTAGTTATTATCTCTAGTTCCATCAACTAAAATTCATTCTCGTTTTACTCGTCATTCAGCTAAGTTTCATTCGTTTACTGTATCTGTCCCTGCATGCTCTAAAAACTTTTATTCATCTAGTTTTTTTCCCCGCACTTCAATCCTTTGGAACTCTCTCCCATCTTCATGTTTTCCTGACTCATACAACCTTCAACTTTTCAAGTCTTCTGTCAACCGTTTCCTTGCTCTATAACTGTGTTCTTTTTTTTCCTAGTAACTTCTAACTTAATAGAGGTTGCTTGCAGCCTTGTTGGGAGTGAATGCAAATAAAAAAATATATATATATCCATTGATACATTTACAGTATACATTGATACACATACGATATATATTAATAACTTGACATGTATGCAGTATATATTAATACATAAGCATTACACATTGAAACATATACAGTATGTTTTGTGAATGATACATACACAGTATATATTGATAAACATAAGTGTATATTGATACATATAAGGTATATATTGACATGTATACATAAAATAAACATTTTATATTGATACATATACAACATACATTAATATGTTAACACAATATATCAATGCATAAACAACATACATTGATAAACATACACTAAGCACTGCAATTTATGGTAAATATAAAAACTTATAAACCTTCGATAGCCGCAATCTTCACAGTTAAATGAATACACCATGCGTTCTTTAAAATTCAGTTTAGTATCACAATTAGATATACACCTAATTATTAAACATTAAGTTATACTTCTATTTGTTAAATTCAAACAATATATATTAAATTAAATGTTTAAAAAAATCATAAATGTCATAAAAATAAATAATATAAAGAATTACAAAAAAAAAAGAAGAAAAAAATCTTTAATATTTCAAAAAATTTAAAAGCATAGAGTAATAATAATAGTGTTATAAAAGCATTAAAAAATGCAAACTTTTTAGCTATTAAAATAGTAAGGTATTAAAGTTAAATTATTATAAACAGATTACTTAAGTTATATTTCAAAGTACATTGAAAATAGCAGCTATAATAGATTATTGTTTTGGTATTAACCCTGTTTATATCTCAAACAATAAAGTCCATAAGTTCCACATCAAAGTGGAACATATGCGGAACCAAGGCCTTCTAAAGTAGAAGGCCTGCTCATGTGGAATCACATTAGTAGTCCATTGATATTTGTCATGTTTTAAAAATATTTATTTTTATTATAAACTTTTGCAAGATTAATTTTTTATATTTCGTTCAATTTAATTTATCTGATTACAAAAAAAAAAAGTGAATGAAAAAAATAATAACAATAATAATCACATTTATTTTGAAAATAATTATTTATTTTTTTTACAAGTTAGTTTTTTTTTATTAATTAAATTTTAAAAAATATATCAAAAGTCTCATTAAGACTAATCAATTCTTATTTTTTTATTATTAAAGTAACTTTAGCAATATTCTTAAATAATAATTTATGAAAGTTCCAGCTTACTTAATACTTTTGGAACTATTTTATACTATTTTTTTCTACATTTTGAAGGTTATCAGCTCTTTTAAAAAAGTTGATAACCTTCAAAAACAATTATTTCAAAAATACTTTTTGTGATAATTGTATTTTTTCAATAGTTGTATTATGATAGGTGTACACATATGACAAGTCATGCATAAAACATAAGCCATCATTCATCTTAAGAAACTCTAAAGACCAAATTGAAAAAGAAATTAAGATTTGTTTGTGCTTCAACATTAACAAATACTTGGATTCATATTTAGAAGACATTAAAAAAGAAAAAATTTAATTTTTTTTTATTTATTTTTATTTTTTAACTTTTTAAACAACTTTTTGTTGTTTAAAAAATTACTAAAAACAGAATTCTGTTTTTAGCTGCAACAAAAGGTTTTTGCTTGCCATTTCAACCCTCCACGATCTAAATTAAATAGGTAACCATATGCTGAAGCAATATCAAACGCTAATGAATGTTCTAAAACAAGTTCTATTTTTCAAAGCTCACAAAATTTTATCTGTGTAGCAACATAGCCTGCAATATACTCAAGAGAATTGCATTCAAAAGAAGAAACATGTACATTATCTGATCTTGTCACTAATTTAGAAAAATTGTCAATAAAAATATCTTCAGAATTGTCTGTAGATTTGATTGCGTTGACACAATTTTATCCAGAAATAAAGTCTAAGAATAATATACTGCCGTGTTTAGAAGAAATAATGTTTAAAGAACTAATGATTTTTTTTTCTGATTCTCTTATCTATTGATAATTTTCATTTGAAAACTTTCGATAAGAACCAAATCGTGCTTCCAAATAGTCTGTTTCAAATATTCTTGTCAACACATGGAAAAAATGAAAATCAGCATGTATTTAATCTGTTCAATAAAAGTTATCTAGTGTGTTTTCAAACATAAATACTTTATTTAGTTAGGCAGCCATGTTTGCTTTTTTTGTTAAAAATTTTCCTATCTTTGAAGTCAAAATAAAAACTGATACATGACAATTTCCATCCGAAAAAACTCTATAAAAATCAAATCGTGCTTCCAAATACTTTGTTTAAAATTAACCTGTCAATACAAAGAAAAAATGTAAATCAGTTAGCATGTATTTAATCAGTTTATTAAAAGTTATCTAGTGTGTTTTCAAGCAAAAAAAGTTTGTTTAGTTAGGCAGCCATGCCTGCTTTTTAGTAAAAAAAATTCTTTGAAGTCAAAAGAAAAAATCTTTTTTTTTTTTAAAAAAAAAGGTCATGTTTGAGTCTTTGATACCATTACAATTATTATCTCCCTGACAAATTCCTTTAATAGTAGACATTCAATATTTTTCAGAGTTTTATAATGAAAGAAATAAATTTATGAGTTCCTGTCAGAGTTGTTAGTCCTTGGCCTTGACTTTGCTATAAGACCTAAAAAATTAAGGCCTTGGCCTTGGTCTTCGCTTTGATTTAAAAGCTAATTTAACATTTTGCTTTTCAATAATGGTCAGGTTAAGAGCATTGTTTTTCAAGTTTGAAGCAAATTTAACTATAATCTTTTTGAAAGTTGTGCAACTGTCAAATATGTTAAACACATGCATTACACTTAGAATTATTAGTAAAACCAGGATATAAAAATAATATTCTCTGTCAAGTTGTCTCAGGCAGTTATTGCAAATACATTTCAATAGATGTACACTATTAAATAGAAAAAAAACAGTTTTCTTGTTGAATCATAAAAATGTTGAATAAATGACTTAAAATCAGCACTAAAAAAAGGCAATAAACATGTTTCAATTAATCCGACTAATGTCTGAAATTAAAGAAAAAACTTTGTAACCACAATATTTTATCAATTAAACCACTTTTATAGTGATTTCTTTTAGATAAACAGCATATTTTTTACTGAAACTTTGAATGATACTGAGCATTATCTTTGTATGATGATAATAAAGAAGTTATAAATGTATGCACTGTGACATGTATATTTTGGATAAAAACTAAAAGCCAGAGTATCAGGAAAATATCGAGGTTGATAAATCAATAATACTTTATTTGTTCACATAAAAATACTAAACATTTATGAACATCTGTAGAATATTCATCACTGTTTTTAACATGTTCACATTGATTATTTAAATTATATTGAAATGTTAAAATATAATCTGAACTGGACATGATATTTTTATTACCAGGAAAAATTTGGGTTAACATAGTGGACTATTGAGCCCAATAAGAAAGTTTACATTCATTGTTAAGTACCCTGCCACTAAACTGTTGTCCATCTTCAAATTACAAGAAAACACTCCAACAAGTAGGTTATTGTGAATTTAATTTTTATTGATATATAAAAAGGAATGTACTGCCATGTTTAGAATGGTCTTTTTTTCTCAACACATATTACAGAACCATCATCTCGCTTTATTGTATCAACACAAACAATAAATGTATGAATGAGATATTTTTTTCACAGAGTAGTTTTATTTGAAGGAAACAAATTTTCTTGAGGAATTTGACGAATCCATAATTCTTTCACCTTTGGATCAGTTAGAAATTCAAAAACACTAACTATTTCACACTTTAAAAAAATTGATTAAATATACTAAATTCATAAAAACTGCATTGAAAATATGAATTTTTAATATTTACAACTTGAGATATTTAGTAACAAATAGATGATCTAAAAAGTTAACAACGAACTACTAAAGTGACATCACAAGAGTTTTTTCATTCCATGACAGGGCCTTCTACTTTAGAAAGCCTTGGTTGAATTTAGTTACTGAACTACCACGATAAGACGGTACTTCTACCAATATACTCAACTACAGGTTAGTAACCTCTCAACATATAAACAGATATTTCACATATAATATCACTGATAATGCTTATAAGATCAAAAAAGAAATATTTATAACTGAGAAAACTGACTCTCATGACTTTAAAATTTAGTTTTAAAAGAAGAAATTTTAAAATATTCTAAAAACTGTAAATCCAAATCTTCCACTTAAAAAGGAAAACCTCTAAGAATTTAAACTGACAACAAATTGCACAGCAGTTTTCATAAAGTTTTAATTCCAATTCAAGTCATCAAATTTTACTATTTATTGCTCTTTAGAACTGTTTATTGCAAGGGTTGTTTAAACAAAGCTTTTTGTTGCTGTGAAAAAAGCAAGCAGGTTTGTTTTCTGTTGCTGTGAAAAAAGCAAGCAGGCTTGTTTTTTGTTGTTTTTTTGTGGGCAGGGGGTTGTGTTATTATATTTTAATTATATGTTAATAACTTAAAAACCATTATTTTTTTTTTAATTTAAGACTCCAGTTTTAGTAAAATAGTATTTAAAAGACCAAAAGACTAAGCAAGGGCTAATTGGAAACTAGCAGATAAGCCTATAGATAAGGAAAAAATGAAAAAATTGCAAGAAAAATATCTAATACAAAAATTATAACAACTGATCATTAGTATATCAGTGAAACTGACAAAAAAACCTTAGTGACTATAAAAAGAAAAGGATCATTAGGTTTTTGTAAAGCTATTGTGTAAAAAATTCAACTAATGTTGTAAAAATTGTTATCAGGTTAAAGTGATGCTGCAACATCTGCCACATGAACAGCTACCTTATTATCAAATTGACGAAATGACAGATCTTAAATTATCACTGAAAAAATGATTCTTGATTTTAAAAAGCTAATTTAAACTATAATTATATAAATATACATTATATTATATAAATATTATATTATATACAAGATTTATACTACATGCATATTGTATAAATATAAGCATTATTATATATACATATTATATTATATACAAGCAACTATAATTATTTATATAAGCATTGTTTAGAAGCTTTCCCCATTATGGAAAACTTCTCATCAATGCTTATTACTAATTATATGAACAGTCAAATTATTTTATAACTACAATAAATAGATAGTCATCGGAATTGATAACAAAAAAGACAAAAATGCAAAGCTCATATATTGGGATTTTATGGAAAACAACAAAAATACATTAGCCTATATATTGGGATGTAATAACTTTGCTAAGCCTATTATTATTAAAACAGTATTGAATATCAATTAACTTGTAGTGCAGGAAGTGGTCTTTTTCTTTAAAAATATTTGACACAGAAATTAATAATGAAGCAGAAATTACAACGGCAGGATGTGTACTTCATTAAAATGAGTTACATTTTCGCCAAACAGAAAGTAAAAGTAACAATTCTAAAAAATATAAAAGCCTTATCTCCCAAAAAC